CGAGTGTTCCGAGTGCTGTATCGTCCGCGTCACTTGGGAGGGTGCTATCACCTAATCCGGAAAATGCCCACCCGCCATCCGCATTTTGATGTTCGACAAGCCACTGTGCTGCAGATTTTACTTTATCTGTAAGTTCAGCATTGTGAGGTACATCCTCTTGCACTTCTGTTAGGGCGATGATGCTCAAGGCAGTGTCCCAGACATTGAGATTTAACGCCTCTCGACATCCACCATCAGGATTTCGAGTTTTGCGGAGCCAGGCAATACCGCGTTCAATGAGTTCGGCGATCTCTTCATCCGCTTCCCATTTCTCTTGTAGTTCAATGAGTGCCAAGACCGAGAGTGCTGTGATATAGTTCACCCGAAACCAACTGCCATCGCTGAGCACATGTGCTTTCAGCCAAGCAACCAGTGCTGCAATCATTTCAGGACGTTTTGTGGTGTTCAATTCAATGAGGATGAAGACAGGAACAAGGGTGTGTTGTTCAGCAATGAACAACGCGTCAAACAGGGTAGTATTGAACAGCGCGACAGGTGGCAGCCGATGCCTCGGTGGTTTCAATCGACTGCCAAGTAATGGTATCTTTGTCAATTGCCTTGCCAATTTCATTAAAGGTAGGACGTTTTCTGATAAGGTAAGCACGTTCCAGTCAAATTGGTTAAAAGCCGCGTAAGCCAATTTGACTAAGGCGAGATGTGGCGCGAATTTCGGGATAGATGTCAGCACTTTTTGGAGAGGAGTATCTGGGCGCGTTGATGAATTTGCTCCAAAATCAAGTGCACAAATCGGGTCGCTTCTGCGTTTGATATGTTCGCAGTATCCAATCCCCATCCGTCATCTTCGTTCTGGTTTTCGATAAACCATTCGGTCAGGGCAGGTTCCGGAGTCTCGCCTCGGGCAAGCTGGATCCAAGCGTACGCACAGCTGGGGAACGTGCTCGAGGAGAGTTGTCCCGCGAAACTACCGTCTTCACACTGTTGTGCGAGCAGAAAAGCAGTGCCGCGCGTTAACGCAGATATGGCTTCTTCTTTCATAACGATTTTTAGGAATCCGAAGTTTCTCAAAGACAGTCCGGGGACTGCTTATTGTTGTTTAAGGTGACCCCATAGCGTCGGCAAGGTGAATTCTGAGAATTCAACAGCTTGTGGCGCATCCAAGTTTGGGCTCAGTAGGTCTGCCTCTCTGGCAATATCGCTGATTCGGACTTCGTCCATTAAACCCTTCCAATTAAATTGGCGTGTATTCTTACTTCCGATGATGACATCGAATCCTGCTGCACCGGCGAGTTTACCGCCATGGTTCGTTGAACCGACCTCTTTTCCGTCAATATAGAGTTTGATCTGTTTGGAATTGTATGTGCCGGCGACGTGCTGCCACTGCTCTAATTCTAACGCATCTGTCGCGCCAGCGAACGCGGTTCCTTTTTCCGTGTTAATGTGGAATTTGGCAATGCCGTTTTCAACGCCTAAGTGATAGGCACCCGGTGGACCGTCCCAGTTCGTGAAGATGAGTCGCCATCCAGTCAAATCTTCGGGATAGACCCAAGCTTCGATCGTAATCTCAACTTTCGGTATCAGTACATCTGCTTCTCCGAGAGAAATCACCGTATTTCCATCAAAAACGAACGATTTTCCTGCTTTATCTTCTTTGTTCCAATCTTGATTTGCATCCCACGCCGCTTTTCCTTCCACCTCACCTTTGACTTTATTATCGGAGGTGTCTACGATATCACCGCCGTCAAAATGCCACAAGCCGAGAGTCGATTCATCCGGAAGATACTCAAATCCGCCAGCGGCGAAGCTGATACTGATTGTTGAAAAAATAAGAAAAGCGTATAATAAAGGTGTATACTGCCATTTTACCCTCATATTTTACTCCTTCTGCATCACTCAATTTTGATGTATAGTTTAGCATACAAGAACTGCCAAAGTCAATGTTTTTAGTCGAGAATCGGTGAGAGAAGTGCCCTTTCTGTACATTGTAGGACTTACGCATCAAAACGCTGTTGGGATGGATGGCTTCGGCTTTCGTGCCCATCCGGACATGAACGCACGCAGGGCACGGGGACCCTGCGGAACATAATCGAGACGAATGTCCATTGCGTAAGTCCTACATTGGTAACTATGCCTTTCACGAACTAAATGCTTCTAAAATTGTCCTATCCTACATAGTTGACTGCAACTGCCAAAATGTGCTATAATAGTCATATAGAAGCAGATATACTATACGCCGAGGTGCAGCTGGATGTTTAGTCCTAATTTTCAGAAGCCCGTATACCTAATCTTTTCCACGCTCCTTTTGGGATTAACGAGTCTGTTTACGACTTTCGCTGAAGAGGATGCCGCGCCTGTAGAGTTAGAAAAAATTATTGTAACCCCTGGTCGCTTTACGATTTATGACGGCGCCTCAGCAAGAATCTCCCTATCTCAGAAGGAAATTGAACGTTTTCCGTTGATTGACAACGATGTGATGCGCGCGGGGCATGTTTTTCCGGGAGTTGTTTCGAGCGATTATAGCGCGCGATTCAGCGTACGAGGTGGAGAAAAAGATGATATTTCTGTCAGGTTAGACGGAATGGAACTCTATAACCCTTATCATCTTCAAGACTTCGGGGGCGCGGTTTCGCTCATTGGTTTGGAACTCATTCAGAATACGCAGCTGCTCATAGGTGGATTTCCAGCAGAATATGGTGAAAAAATGTCCGGGGTCTTTGACCTCAAGACAAGATCCCCAAACACTGAGCAATTCTCCGCTAATTTTGGAATAGACCTGATTAACGCGACCGCTACTTTGGAAGGACCACTCTCTGAAAAAGGGGGTTGGCTCCTATCAGCCCGCCGCGGGTATATTGATCTAATCCTCGCGCTCATGGATGTTGACGAGGACTATAAACCGCAGTATGCCGATGTCTACGGTAAATTCACATATCAAGTTACACCCCGAGACGAAGTTACACTCAACGGACTGTATGGTTGGGATAAGAACCGAATCCGCGTAGATGATGTAGACAATAACTTGGATTCCCGATACGACAATTCAACCGCTTGGGCAAAGTGGCGGCATACCTTTGGTGATTCACACTGGACAGATACATTTGTTTTCGCCGGCACCTCTGCTCAGGATAGAACAACCGGAAAGGCGGATGTTGATAACCGAGATTTTCGGTTCTTTGGGACAAAAACCGAGTTTACGGCAAACCTTTTTGACAAGCACACATTCCGTAGCGGTGTGAAGTGGCAATGGTTAACTGCCCAATATCAATACAATGTTCAAGAACGGCAAGCAGGTGTAAACAACTATAAGCCGATTCTCGTTGATGTTGACGATATTGGGAGTGACATCAGTGCTTTCTTGCAGGATGAGTGGCAACTCCACCCCAAACTCGCGCTCAATGTAGGTGGCATTTTGTCTACCAGCAGTATCGGAAAGAAGGCATCCAGCGTTATGAGATTGGACCGCGGGTTGCGCTTGCAGTAAAACCGATGAATAATTTGGTCCTACGGGGCGCATGGGGACTTTACCACCAGCCAGTTAGTTTGATGGGAATTCCTGTAGAGGATGGCATTGAGACTGTTGGACGCGCGGAACAAGCCGTGCATTACGTTATCGGGGCAGAGTATACTCCCACCAATAACTTCTTAGTGCGTGTGGAGGGCTATTACAACACATTTGATAATCTTGTTGGACGACATCGCGAGTTCGGACGACAGAATCAGATTTTCGTCGCACCGGAGTCCGGAGATGCCAAAGGTCTGGATGTGTTCATGACACACGCAGTTTCAAATCGTTTGGCGTGGACACTCGGTTACGCTTACGGTATCGCAGAAGAAGTCGCGGGTGGCACAACTGTCTTTCGCCAGTATGACCGGCGACACGCTTTCGCCGTTAGCAGTAACTATCAGTTTGCCCCGATGTGGCATCTCTATCTCAGTTGGCGTTTCCATACAGGTGAACCGAGAACGCCTCTTATTCACACGGAAGTCCGGGGACCAAATAACGGCATCATCGCTTGTGACCGGCAGTTTGGGGATACGCACTCAGCGCGAATGCCCGCTTACCAGAGTCTCGATTTTCGCATTACAAAGCAAAACTCTTATCGGCGGTGGGAGTTGTCTTGGTATTTCCAAATTTTGAACTTGTATAATCATAGGAATCTGGATCAGTATGCATTTAGTGAAGTTCGCGACGAAGAAACAGGGGCTGTTATCGAGTGTGTTATTGAGGAAGAACCTCTTTTTCCAATCGTTCCGACCTTAGGCGTTACGATGCGCTTCTAACGACAGTAACTCCTTCTCTATAGCGATAAACTATAGTGAATCCTAAAAATAAATAGACACTTTCATCCCCCGGTAGGCGAGGTTTCCTAACCTCGCCGGTACAGAGTGTCCAATTAATTCTAAACTTTACTATAATTCTAAACTTTACTATATATTTAGAATTCCGGTGTAAAAGCGTTTTTCAAACGCTATGAACCGCTCCAGTTTACAAGAAAAGTAGAAACATGTTCCAATATATCAGAAAAGCACTAAAAAAGATACGGCGACGGTATATAAGAAATTCGCAGAGACGGAACTTACCGAAGGCTGCGCCAAGTGTCGCAGAGGCGATACTACCTTTGGACTCCGATACGTACACTATTGCACCAAGTCATCTCAAAGAGATGATGGACCAAGATAAATCGTTCGTTTTGTTGGATGTGCGTGAGAAATGGGAGTATGAGATGGTTCACATTGAAGGTGCTATCTTGGTTCCGTTCGGTGAGTTGCCGAGACGGTTTCGGGAGATTACACCACGGATTGAGGTCGTGGTGTATTGCCATTGGGGGATGCGGAGTCTGGATGCGGCGTTTCTTTTACAACAACTCGGTTTTAAATCGGTCAAGAGTCTGGTGGGTGGCATTGATCGGTGGGCACAAGAAATTGATACGCAGATCCTACGATATTAGCACATATTAAAGCCGCAGTCGCTGGAACAGGCTTTAGGACGGGCAGCTCTCTATCTACAGTTCTGTTTTGAAATCTTGGCTTTGGAGTTCATATTTCTGCATCCGGTGCTGGAGTTTGCGACGCGAAATACCGAGCAGTTTTGCGGCTTGAATTTGGTTCCCATTGCTTCTTGCCAATGCGCTGTACACATATTCCTTAATAATTTCCTCAAGTGAAACCCCTTCCTCCGGTATATCGAACTCAACATCGGTCGTAGGCAGCGACGTATCTAAAATTTCCGGGGGCAATTCGTCTTTGTCGATCACTTCATTTTCTGAAAGCACAAATATCCTACGGAGATAATTTTCTAATTGCCGAATGTTACCGGGCCACTCGTAACGTCGGAGTGCTGACATCGCTTGCGGTGTAACCTGTTTTGGTAAGGCCTCCGCATATTCATTGCTAAATTTATCGATCAGGTAATTCACGAGCATTGGGATATCCTCAGGGTGTTCCCGAAGCGGCGGGACGTGAAGTGGAATTACATTCAGACGGAAATAGAGATCGTCACGGAATGCACCATCTCGGACTGCCTGAATTAGATCCTTGTTTGTGGCAGCAATCACACATACATCCACTTTAATGCTCTGGGTCCCACCGACTCGACGTATGTTACGTTCCTCTAAGACGTGCAAGAGTTTGCTCTGTGTCTGAATCGGTAGGTCACCGATTTCATCCAGAAAGAGTATCCCTTCGTTTGCTACCTCAAACAGCCCTTTCTTCTGCTGCGCTGCATCTGTAAATGCCCCCTTTTCGTGTCCAAAGAGTTCACTTTCAATGAGCGTATCTGGAATCGCGCCACAGTTAACAGCGATGAAAGGTTTGTCTTTTCTAAGTCCATTTTTATGGAGTGCTCGCGCAACTAAACTTTTTCCAGACCCGGTTTCTCCTGTGATGAGCACTTGTGTGACACCGCGGTGCAAAATCCGAGCCATTTTTTTGAAAAGCTCCTGCATTTGCTCGCTTTCACCTATAATCTCATCAATCTGAATTTCAGGCGTTGAATCGTCGTTTACCGCTTCTGGTTCTCCAAGGGCACCGCGAGTCTGCAGGGCGTGCTTCACTTCTCGTTTCAGAACATCAATCTGAATCGGTTTCTCGAGATAGTAAAATGCCCCTTCGTGTGCAACAAGATTAACTGCGTCATTCAACTCGGCGTACGCTGTCATGATAAGCACTGGTAGATCTGGATCGGTACGCTTTATTTCCCGAAGCAGATCTCGACCTTCAAACCGTGAAGACATCCACATATCGCTGATAACAAGATCAAACATCTGTTTCTCTAAGTTCTCAAGCGCGGCTTTGCTGTCTTCAACAATTTCAACCGTGTACCCTTCGCGTTTTAAAATGCGCTGTAGAATTGTAAGTTGTGCCTGGTCGTCGTCTACAATCAGTATGGATGCCATTGTGTTGTTCTCCTGATCTATGCCGGAAATTTACGGAAGTTTATCACCGTTCAGCGGTAAACTGATTTTAAAAGCGGTTCCCATTCCCATTTTGCTTCTTACTTCGATCTTACCTTTATGCGCAGTGATGATCTGGTGTGAAATGGCAAGTCCGAGTCCTATCCCGCCGGTAGCGTCTTTCGTTGTAAAATACGCATCGTAAATCTGTTCCTGAATTTCTTCTGGAATGCCGATACCGGTATCTCGAATTTCGATCACTGCATATTCCGGGTCTTGCTCTATCTTTTCAAGTAGCGTGTTGATGTAAATACTGCCGCCCTTCGGCATTGCTTGGATACTGTTTTGTACAAAATTGAAGAGGGTTTGTTGTATTAGCGGCGCGTCTAACGGGACATCCAGCAAGTTTTCATCATAGTTTCTGATTACCTGTACCTTGGCATCCTCAGCGATGAGTGTGAATTCCGCTACAACCTGTTCCACAAGAAGGTTGAGGTTTACGGGGGCTATGTTCAACTGCCTCGGTCGGTTTAAGGTGAGGAACTGTGCTGAAATCTGCTTCAGTTCCGTTATTTTTTTGTCAACGATATCTAAAAGTTCTTTCGCTTCTTCAATATCGTCGTGACTCACTTTTTTGTTGTGAAAACACAGACTTCAGGTGCTGGGCAGTCATCCCGATTGAATTAAGAGGGTTCCGAATTTCGTGTGCCACACCAGCGGCGAATTGCCCTAAGGCATCAATCCGTTTTGAGTGAGAATCCCGCAGTTGCCATAGCATCCTGACGAGGTTATGGGTTGCCTTCCCGATTTCATCCAACGAATAAACCTGCTCAAGGGGTGGATTACCGCTTTCCGCACTCTGAATAATACGTGTCATCCGTTCTAACGGCTTCATAATCAGGTGGTTCGTTGTTAAATCAATTAGAATTACGAGGAGCGCACCGACGATGACGATGAGTATAGCGTGCATGAGCAAGGCGTATCGGATCGATTTGTCAATATCTGGCACATTAAAAAGCACCTGAATATATCCGATTTGTGTTTTTTGGATCCATAGCGCGTCCTCTTCCTTCCATAAGGTATAGAGATTCCCGCGTTCCTTATCCGTAATCCGCCATCGCTTCCCTTTCTCCTCGACCGTCACTGGAGCATCCAGAACATAGATATCTTGTGCCACAAGGGCTTTCCACAGTGGAAAAGAAATGCTGCCACTATCTAAGGCGGTTTCGTACACAACATCAGAAGGCTCTACCTTCTCTGGTGTCACCAACGAGACGAGATATTTAATAACAATAGCAGTTGCGTCCTGGCCTTCAACTGTATCTATCGTCGCGCCCTTTGTCTCAATTTGCTCAAGGTCGGCTGAATCAAGGTTTATGTCAACAGCATCTTCACCGACGAGTAGGCTGGCGCGAATACGCGTATTGTTTAGAGAGACATGGACGTTTAGCACATCCTGCATGTCCGGGTGTTCTCGCTTGAGTTCATTGAGCACCTGGTCCAGCCGTTTTGCGTCAAACACCTTTGTTGTTTCGATCTCTGTCACAACAGCGTTAAGAATCGTATTTTCAGCGATTTTTCTCAGTTCAGCACCGCGTTCTGCCCCTAAAGCGTGGAGGGCATTCATCTCGTTTCGGACACGGATACTATCAAAAAAGTAAAATGCCACGAGGACAGCTATTACGGAAAGATTGATAACAAGTGAGTACTTCCATTGGAGTCGCATTTTAATCCATTACGCGTTCCACTGCTTTTTTCCACTGTGCAAGTTTCTGATTCCGTTCGTTTGTGTCAATCTGTGGTGAAAAGACGCGAGCTGTAGAAACATTATCATCGGACGTTGCTTGTTCAGATCGGTACGCCTCAAGTTGGTCAATGTCGTTCCACATTCCGCTTGTAATACCAGCGAGGTACGCTGCACCCAGTCCCGTTGATTCAATTTGCGCCGGACGTTCTATATCTATCCCAAGAATATCTGCTTGGAACTGCATGAGGAAGTCATTCGCAGTTGCCCCACCGTCAACCCGCAATCGATCAACTGCCATCTTCGTATCTGTCAACATCGCAGTGACCACATCTGCGGATTGATAGGCGATTGATTCTAAAGTGGCACGGATAATTTGCGCGCGGGTACTCCCTCGCGTTAAACCGAGGATTGCACCGCGTGCCTCAGCGTCCCAATAGGGAGCACCGAGTCCAGTAAACGCAGGAACAACAAAGACACCGCCTGAATCCGGGATACTGGATGCGATCTCTTCCGTTTCCACCGCGTTTTCAATAATCTGGATACCATCACGAAGCCATTGAATCGCAGCACCAGCGACAAATACGCTTCCTTCCAGCGCATAAACCGGGTTTTCATCTAAACTACAAGCAAGTGTTGTCAGGAGTCCAGTCTCTGTTTCTATTTTTTCAGCACCCGTGTTAAGCATGAGGAAGCAGCCGGTCCCGTAGGTGTTTTTCACCATGCCCGGTTGGGTGCACAATTGCCCGAAGAGGGCTGCCTGCTGATCCCCCGCAATTCCAGTAATTGGAATGCCATCTAAGCATATATTTTTTCCGAAGGTTTCAAGCCAAAAATTACGGTAGAAACTCGCTGTACCAAAATTGCTTGCAGATGGATAGACTTCAGGCAATATAGCTTTTGGAACATTGAATATCTCCAAAAGGGTGTCGTCCCATGAAAGATTGTTAATATTGAAAAGCAGAGTACGCGACGCATTTGTATAATCGGTTTTATGGACAGCACCGTCTGTTAATTTCCATAGGAGCCAAGTGTCTACGGTCCCAAACGCAAGTTCACCGCGTTCTGCTTGTTCCCGTGCGCCATTAACATTATCAAGAATCCACGCGATTTTTGTTGCCGAAAAGTAGGCATCTAAGACAAGCCCTGTTTTGGTCTTTATCTCTCCTGCTATTCCCTGTTTCTCGAGAGAAGTACATCTATCTGCTGTACGCCGACACTGCCACACAATTGCAGGATAAATCGGTTTTCCTGTTTGCCGATCCCAGATGAGAGTCGTTTCGCGTTGATTTGTGATTCCGAGAGCGATAATGTTTGGTGCTGTTTCTCCAAAAAGTGCGTCTATTGCTTGTAGCGTGGCGTTCCATATCTCCTCTGGATCGTGTTCTACCCAACCGGGATGTGGGTAATACTGTGTAAATTCTTGGTATCCGCGTGCGACGATGCTACCCTGTGTGTCAACAAAGAGAGCAGTCGTGCCTGTTGTCCCTTGGTCGATCGCGAGGATACAAGCGGTGTTCGGCATGCTATGCGTGCTACTCCTAATTCTTTTTTATTTAAGCATAACACGGATGGGAAAAAATAACAATTGAAAATGAGGACTCGGCTGACGGAGGGTTTTTTGTCAATTCAGGTTGACATCGAATTCGCTATTTTGATATAATATATTATTATGCTTTGACCGTATTGTACAATACTACATTACACGGAACCATCTTCGTTTTGCCTTTAGTATCCTAACAGATCTGTCGCTTTGAAACAAGGAATCAAGACTGATAGATTGATCCTGTTGCCCGGTTTAGGTTTCGAGAACGAGGCTACGGGAAGACGAATTAAACGGTTCTGCTGCTCAATCAATGTGCGATTGGGATTATTGTTGTGAACATAAAACAGATTTCTGATAGTTCAGAGAGGAGTGACGTTGTGAAAAAGGTTTGGCTTTGCGCGCTGATAGTGTTCTGCTTGACTGCATATCATAGCCATGCACAGGTTAAGTGGGACGCTGAGAAGTTTATGCCGTTGTCCGAGGTGAAACAGGGAATGAAAGGGAAGGGGTACACGGTATTTTCAGGAATAGAGGTGGAAGAATTTGATTTTGAAGTTGTAAGCGTTGAGTATGATTATTACCCCGGATGGCACGTGGTATGGTGTAAAGGTCTCAGCGACAACTTTAAACGTACCGGTGTTGCAGGCGGTATGAGCGGTAGTCCGATATATATCGACGGACGGCTTATGGGGGCACTCTCACTTGGGTACTACAACCAGCGGGAACATGCGAATCTTTTTGGTGTCACACCGATTGAATTGATGGTTAAAGTGGCACAGCGTGGGATGGAACCCAATTTGAGTTACCAAGGCACGCAGCTCTTTGATTTCGGTGCTGCCGCTGGGGTACAGGCATCTGGTTTGGATATGGGACCGTCCTTGCTTCGCGATGGTAAAGTTACACAGATTCCTCGCAGTTTTGATGAAGTGTGGTTTGAGAACATTTCTAAGACTCCTTCCCGAGTGAGATCCACGCAGTTGTCAATACCGCTCGCGCATCCACCACTGAGTCCAGAACTCATGCGGTTTGCCCAACCAGTTTTTGGCAAAATGAATCTGACCCCCGTTCAAGCCGCAGGTGGTGGAAGTCGTATTAAGGAATCACCCGTTGAGGAAGGGCAGATAATCGGGATAGAAATGGCGCGTGGTGATGTCTCGTTTTTTAGCTACGGCACTATCACGTATGTAGATGGAGATGAACTACTCGCCTTTGGACACTCCATGTCGGCAGAAGGTAATGTGAACCTACCGCTTTCAGGCGGATATGTTCAATTTATTTTACCGAGCACCACCCGCTCCTCCAAACACGCAGCACCCACACAACCCATCGGCACCTTAGTACAAGACCGGGAAACTGCAATCGCGGGTATCATTGGGAAACATCCCAGCTATATTCCTATCAATATAAATGTGCAAACAACTGATGGGAAACGGCACGAAAAGTATTATGAAGTGATGAGGGACCGTGGCGTATCTGGCCTCTATGCCGGAATAGGTACATCCTACCTCTTGGATTCTCTTGAGTTCTACTTCCACGACCACACGGTCAACTTGGGGACGACCATTACCCTGAAAGAACATCCTGACCTCACAAACCGTGAATTGACGTACAAGAACGTCTTTTCTTCCAGCGGTTCGCCAGCGTCGGGTGTCATGCAGACGGTGATGTATCCAATGGCATTGTTGGATAGCAACACTTACACAAAGGTTCAGGTTGAAAGCGTTGATTTTGATATCAAGATAGAGGATAAACGACGAACGGCAAGAGTTGTAAGCCTTCGCGTAGATAAGCTTCGCTATCGCCCTGGTGATACCGTCGCAGTCGAAATAACTTTGCAGCCCTATCTTGAAATGCCGGTAGTCCTGACAGGAACGATTACTATTCCAAAGGATGTTCCCGATGGGCTTGTTATGCTTCTCGCCTCCAATGGAAACTTTCACCAGTCTTGGCAGCGTTCCCGCGCACCCTACAACTTTCGGCATAAAAACATCAACCAGTTGGTTGAAATGTTGAAACGGGAAGAAAACAATTCCAATATTATCTTGGAGCTTTTTGTGCCTCAGCCGGGACTCACTGTTCAGGGTCAAGAATTCTCGAATTTGCCACCCTCAGTCATGTCTGTGATGAACACCGCAAAACAGGTCGTTGGCAATAGTGGCTATACTTCGGGTACAACCTTACATGTTGACAAGATGCCCACAGGCTATGTTGTCTCTGGCAGTGGTATCATTCGATTTGTCGTTGATAGGAACGCCGAATAGCACCTAAAAGGACGGAATGGGTAGGGCGGAGGTAGATAACCTCCGCCTGGAATAACCGGTGAGAGACAGTGGGACATAAATCTCATCCTCGTATGCTGGTAAATGCTAAATCAAAGAATCCTTAAATTTGGCGGCTTGCACATTACCTTCAAGTTCCGCCTAAATAACCCGATAGGAGGGTATTTTCAATGCGCCGTGTCATCTCCTTTTGGAGTCTTATTTTAACCGTTTTGATTTTCGCCGGTGTCGCATCCGCGGTGAAAACTTCGTTGTGGGAACAACAGCATCGTGCCGATTTTGACTCTGGTAAGCCCAAGGACCTCTCACTCACAAGCACCGGAGACGTTACGTTGTCTCGTAAAATTGATGCCTTTACAAAAATGAAAGAGACTCAGGTCTGGGCACTTGTTGAAGATTCAGCAGGAAACCTCTATGCTGGGACCGGTAACGAAGGGAAAATCTATAAAATTAGTGCTGATGGCGACACCGCTGAACTCTATTATAATTCACCCGAAGTTACCATTTACAGCCTCGCTATCGGACCAGACGATGCACTCTATGCTGGTACAGGACCCGATGGATTGATTTACAAAATCACTGATGCGACAACACCGCCTACAACCCTTCTCAATGAGGGCGACAAATATGTATGGGCGTTGCAATTTGATGATGTTGGCAATCTCTATGCCGCAACTGGCACCGATGGAAAGATTTACAAAATTACACCTGAAGGTGAATCCAGCGTCCTATTTGATGCCGAAGAAAAAAATATTATGACCCTCCTTCAGCACGAAAACGGTTTCTATGCAGGAAGCGGCGACAACGGCGTTATCTATCATATTATGGATGATGGCACTGCAAAAGTTGTTTATCAAGCCAAAGAGAAAGAAGTCCGTGCCCTTGAAATGGATAGCAAAGGCAACCTCTACGCTGCAGCCGTCACATCTGAACCCGCCGAACCCTCAAGAGGACGACGCGGGGCAAACGGACCACCTACACCCAGTGGACCGCCGCCACCCGGTGGTGGACCGCCTCAAGAGAATAAATCTAACATCTACAAAATTCGACCCGACGGTACTACTGTATCAATTTGGAATTCGCCAGCACCCCTTATTTTAGCAATCGTGTTGGAAAGCGATTCCCAAATCCTTGTAGGAACAGGGAATAAGGGAAAAATCTACCGCGTCAACCTAATGAGTGGAGATTATGTCGAAGTCGGAAAATGTTCAGCTGACCAAGTCGTCGCGATACATCAAAAAGTGGTTGATGGAAGTACTAAAACCTTCTTGGCAACTGGCAATCCCGGTAAACTCTTTACGCTTACTACCGATCATGTTGAGGAAGGAACACTTGAGTCAGATGTTCACGACGCAAAAAGCCTTTCCCGCTGGGGGAAACTTTCTTGGGAAGGTGAGATGGCAGAAGGAACCGCGATCGCTTTCTCAACCCGTACCGGTAATACTAAAAAACCTGATGATACATGGAACGACTGGTCGGAGGATCTCACCACTGCGGAAGGTACCCAAGTTCCCAATGGAGACGCACAGTATATCCAGTGGCGCGCTAAATTTACAACCGACGATACAGCGAAAACGCCTGTCTTGAAAAAGGTTACCCTCGCTTCTGTGCAAACAAATGTTGAGCCACGATTTACAGGTATTACCATAGATGATGGCAGCGGCAGCGGCAATCAAGAACCCCGGCGTCGTCCTTCTGGCGGGAACTTACCACCTCCAGGCGCACGAGGCGGAAGTGGCGGCGGATCCGGTGGTGGAGACGATGCACCCTCTAAAAAATGGAAGATTAGTTGGAAGGTTGAGGATGCAAATACCGATACGCTCCAGTATACGCTCTACTACAAAGCGGTAACTGAAGAAAACTGGCGACTCCTGAAAAAAGAGTTAACCAAAGCCGAATTTGAGTGGGATATTACCACGGTTGCTGATGGGCGATATAAGGTGAAAGTTGTCGCTACAGATAAACTGAGCAATCCAGTCGGTTGGGCGAAATCCGCTGACAAGATGAGTATGCCGTTCGATGTAGACAATACCCAACCTTCTGTCGGCGAAATTAAAGTCACGCCTAATGGTAATGGTACTTACAAAATCGCTTGTGAGGTTACGGATATGGCCACGCCTATCCAGAAAGCCGTCTATAAAATTGACAGTGATGAAAACTGGAAGGCAATCTTCCCCGATGACGGTATCTTCGATTCCAAGAACGAGCAGCTTCTGTTAGAAACCGGTGAACTTCCCGCAGGCGGACACGCGATTACCATTCAAGTGACGGATAAAGCACAGAATACTGCAGTCGGTCGTGCTGGTTTCTAAATAGAACCGATCGCTGGGCGGGTTTGAACACCCGCCCTATTTTTTTTGACTGTCTCAATTCAATACCTCTTATACCAAATTAACCCAATTTGTAGCGCGAGGTCCCTGTGCCTCGCAATGCTGACTTGATCAAAAGACTTCTAATCAAGTTAATTTGGTATAATACCAAATTAACCCAATTTGTAGTGCGAGGTCCCTGTGTCTCGCAATGCTGACTTGATCAAAAGACTTCTAATCAAGTTAATTTGGTATTAGTAGGCGCGGTTTGTAACCGCACCATACATGTCAATTTAAGAAAAAACGACCCTCGCGGCACCGAAACACGGTAGGCACTGTGTCCAACTGCGCCGGATTACAACACAAACCTTGTATACCGCAAAACCCTCTTGAGTCCCGTAGGGACGGCATGTTTATAGCAGCGGGTCTAAAAAAGGTATTCAGTTTCCCTGTAAGGGCGGCATGTTTATATCTACAGTTGATAAAACGCTGTCAAAAATCCCTAAATTGACACCTATGGCGCGGTTTGTAACCGCGCCTAAAACCTCTGCTCTATTTTTTTGTGACCGTCTCAATTGAAGTATAAACGATGTCCAGTAGGGTATCTAATGCTGAAATAGAGATTTGCAAGGGTGGCATCAATACAACGGTATTGACAAGAGGTCGGAGCATCGCTCCACGTGTGAGTGCCTCTTGACAAACCCGGATACCTACCTTTTCTTCAAATGGATAAACGGTATAGGTGTCCGGGTTTTTCATGAGTTCTACACCCGCAGCAAAACCACACACGCGTACATCACCGACATGCGGAAGCGCATAGAAATCTTGAAGCCGGTTTCTGAAATGTTCAATGGTAGGTTGAAGTTCGGATAGGAGGTTCTCACGCTCGAAAATAGCGATATTTTCTAATGCCACAGCGCATGCTAACGGGTTACCGGTAAAGGTGTGACCGTGGAAAAAGGTCTTAAGGTCTCTATATTCGCCGAGGAAGGCGTTGTAGATGTCATCAGTCGTTAGCGTCGCAGCGAGGGGGAGGTAACCGGCGGCGAGACCCTTTGCCGTGCATAAGATGTCGGGTGTAACGTTTTCATGTTCGCATGCCCACATTTTGCCGGTGCGTCCGAATCCGGTCATCACTTCATCGACAATGAGAAGCACTTTCCACCGTTTTGCCAATACGGCGAGTTCTTTCAAAAAACCTTTCGGAGCGATCAGCATACCACCCGCACCCTGAATTAGCGGTTCCAAAATGATACCAGCAACCTGTCCTGCATTTTCGGAGAGCGCATCTTCTACCGCATTAAGCCAACGAGTTTTCACTACAGTGTTGTTGCCGGACGTATCTGTATTGTGAGCGGAACGATAGGTTTCAGGAGCGGACACACGGACACCTTTGAAAAGGAGGGAATCAAAGGTGGTGTGGAAACTATCAATCCCACCGACACTCATAGCACCTATGGTGTCCCCGTGGTAAGCATTATCGAAATGGATAAACAGTTTACGTTGCGATTCTCCCTTGTGTTGCCAGTACTGATACGCCATCTTCAAGGCGATTTCGACAGCGGTTGAACCGTTATCGGAGTAAAACACCTTGTTGAGTCCCGCAGGCGTGATTTTCACCAGTTTTTGTGCCAGTTGAATCGCAGGGATGTTGCTGTATCCAAGCAACGTGGTGTGTGCAATTTTGTCCAGTTGTGCCTTGAGTGCTGTGTTCAATTCAGGCGATTGTGTCCGTGGATGTTCGTCCACATAGAAGCCGTGCCGTCAATGTACCGATTTCCGGCGGTATCTATGAGGTAGCACCCCTCACCAGCGTTCAATGATGACGACATCTTCCGTCAGCCAATCTTGCATCTGCGTGAATGGATGCCAGAGATAACGCTTATCCCACGCAACAAGCGTCTCTTTATCCAACATGTGGCTTACCTATCGTTCTTATCTGGACTGTTAGTCATGACACAACAGTGAAACCTACCCTTTGAGTTTCGCGTAGTGGACTGGTGGTTCCAAGCCGAGTTGATTATAGCTGCCTATTTTCGGTACGATAATTTCAAGCACCCTGTTCCGATAATTTGTATGGAAATCCTCCGGTTGTCCTTGAATAGGAATGATACTTGTAAAGCCGTTAGGGAAGGAACTGGTGCGTCCGACAACCTTTTCAAACCGCGGGTCTTCCATTTGTCCTGTTTTGGGTTCACAGGCAGATGCGTCTGAACCGTCACAGTCGTTTCGGGTGCCGGTGTAGTATCTATAGGACATGGCGAACTTAGACAGACTTCATACGCATAGTCTGGCATTCTATCAGGAAGATCATGCGTTTTCTTCGCCGCGGAATTGGGAACCCATCGCGGGAACTCGATCGCAATTCGGTAATAATCTGCCATTTCTGAGACTTGATTGATCATTCCGTAACGACGGTATCGTTCCTTTATATCATCTGCGTAAATTGCGCCATCTACATTTACTGCCCCGGGCACCGTTGTCCGCTGCGCGCCAGGTGTAACAACAAGGGCAGAACGCAAGCCGATGAGTAGCGGGGTCGCTACGAGTGAGGCAATCCAACCGTAGAACGCCGCACCGTAGCGCGGTTGTTCGGATGTTGAACGGAATTCGTCTTTAAACCGGTAGATACCTTCGGTGACCGCGATGACTATCCCGAGAAAGATCATCAAGTTGCCTTTACTTGAAAAAAGGTCCGGATTTTGTCCTTGGAACCCGATGAAGAAAAGGATAAGAGGATAAGGGTTAGGTTGATGAGGCTGTTGATGCCAGTAGATACAGCGGCACTAAAGACAAGCGAATTTCCCGCCATTTCCTCAAGCTGCGTTTTAAACTTCGCTGAGAACGCACCGAGAATAGGTTGTCCGAGCATCGCTAACAAATTGAACGGCGCACGGAGTCTTGTGTCGGGTACTTCTGGTATCTGCACAAATTCTTCTGGTATACCTTGTTTCTTCTTTTCTTTGGTTTTTCCCTTATCCTCGGCTTCACTATCCGCTGCTTCAGGTTTAACAAAGGTCTCAAAAAATTTGCTGTTTATCTCAATATACGATTCCCATTCACTTGACACATCACTTTGCATAGCGATCGCGTCAACCGGACACACAGGTTCGCACGCGGCGCAGTCAATACACACGTCTGGGTCAATGTAAAGTTGCTTTTCGCCTTCGCTGGTATGTATGCAGTCTACAGGACAGACATCAACGCATGCGGTGTCCATCACGTCAACACACGGTTCACAAATTACGTAAGCCATCTTTCCCCTCCTTTTTTTGGATGATTCACTGTTAAGTATACCACAATTATGCGCGATGGCAAGCAAATATTCCTGTTTTTACAGTTTGACAAATAGGCGGATCGTGCTTATAATAGCGTAGCGACCCAGATGCATAAGGAGATCAAATGTTTAAAGAACCGGAAGCTTTTATCGTTGAAGAACTACCGCTTTATGAACCCTCTGGAACAGGGACACATACCTATTTCGCTATTCGGAAACGGAATCTTAGCACGTTGGAGCTATTAACCGAATTGCACGGGAACTACAGGTGCCGACACGAGATTTCGGGTATGCTGGCTTAAAGGATAAGAACGCAATCACAACACAGGTATTGTCTGTTGAAGACATAGCACCGGAACGGGTTTTGAAGATTGAACAACCGGCTATTGAAGTGTTATGGGCGGAACGGCACACGCATAAATTACGGGTGGGACACCTTCGCGGCAACCGCTTTGAACTAACCCTGCGCGATATTTCTCACGATATCCTACCTCTGATCAAAGTATCGATGGAACGGATGGTAACTGAGGGTGTACCGAATCGATTTGGCGTACAGCGATTTGGCAATAAAAACAACTCACATCTGATTGGCAAAGCACTCGTGAAAGCAGAGTGGGAAACGGTAGTGCGTTATATGCTCACAGATGATGCACCGCAAGTTGACGGTGTCGCGCGCCGTATGCAACAGGAACTGGCACGGAAACCTGTTGAAAAAGTAATAACTTCTATTCCTTATCGGTTGCGTAAGTTGTATTTGTCGGCGTATCAAGCGCACCTCTTTAACAGCGTTTTGGAGAAGCGGATGCCCCATTTAAGCAAGCTTCTTGAGGGCGACATTGCTGTGAAACATAGCAACGGCGCACCCTTCCTCGTTGGGGATCCTGCAGTTGAACAACCGCGGGCAGATGTGTTTGAGATTAGTCCGTCCGGACCAATCTTCGGGTACAAGATGCGAATGCCCATTGGCGATGTCCTCGTGCTGGAGACATCGATCCTGGCAGATGAAGGGGTTCGTCTTGAAAAGTTTCGTAAGGTTGTGGGGATTCGGTTACCGGGGACCCGTAGACCTTTACGGATGCCGATACAATTGCATGAGGTCTCTGCTGTTGATAGCGGTGCCGGAATACGCCTCAGTTTCACGCTCCCCGCGGGTGGATATGCAACGGTGGTGGTGGAAGAACTCTTGGCAACTATACAGCCTTCTAAGGGAATTTAGTTTTTGGGTTTTTTACTCTTCCTGTGCCGTTTGTTTGGATTTCTGGTATCTGTAATACGTCCATGCCCCGGATACAAGGAGAACTACCAGCAACACAATGAGACCAATATTGAGGAGATAGCGACCACGATTGAACTGCCACAACCGTTGACTTGCTAATTCGGCAGCAGGCGTTCCTTTTTGTGCTTTTGTTTTTATCTCTTCCCAATACTTTTTGGCAAGAGCAGGTTGATTAAGCTGCTCCGCAAGTTTCGCAGTAACCACCAGATAGGTAACATCTTGAACGTCTTGCTTCTCTAACGCGTCGGCGAAGGAACTGAGAAGTAAGACTGTTAAATCTTGAGACATTTGTGGGAAATTTGCCGTGCGCTCAATCCCGTTCTGGAAAGCAGTAACAGCCCCTTGATGGTTATCTCGGTCAAATTCAATTTGTGCTATCTCGAACCAGCTTCTCTTAATAAGTTGGATCGATTGTGTTATATCGCTATAACCGTCAAATGTGAAAGTTGCCGAACCGTAATTCTGGTTACCCTGTTTCGCGTAGAGTGAGTAAGTTTCGCCGATTGTTAGTAAATCTGAGTCTTTCCAATCGTCAAAACGAAACATTCCATCTGCCGCCACAGTCTGTTGATATGCTGTTCCATCTATCCAAACCAGAGCGTCGGCAGCCGACGCACCAGCTACACCTTTAACGCCGCCATGAACGGCGATAGGGTCAAGTGCCCAACCGATGTGGACGGACTCTCCAAGCACCAACTGCAATTCCGCGGTTTTGGAGGGTGGAGTGATGTACCCGACTTTCTTTACGGATACTGTGGAGGTGCCTTGTTGTAGATTCTCTGTAATGAGTTTTGGTGTATTTCCGACTTCAGCATCGTTGATGAAAATTTGCGCACCATCGGGAAATGTTGTGATCTTAAGCGCGGGGCTCAGTTTGAGCAGTGCTGCTTCGACATTGCCTGTTGGCGCAAGAATTCCATCGACGAACTCAGGATGTGTCCGCAATCGGTCATAAGTTTCAAAGATGCTCAGCTGCCGATTATCGTCTGAATCGGTTGCGTCCGTGGCGAGTGCATCGTAAATTTTCTGAAGGAGCGCAGTGTTTTCTGCTTTCTCTACCGACTGAATCACGTTTAGCGCAGCACTGCCGAGCGTCTCGCGGTTGCCATAGTAAGCACTTAAATTTATATCCTCGGTGTAACCATCAACAATAACAACGGTACTTCCTCTATTAGTCTCTCTAAACCAGCTGTTGAGAGTGGAATCTTGAATTCCATTTTCGTCTTCTTGAATTCTCAGCTGCATCGTGTGTGCGTTCGGCTTAGAAACCATCCCGTGGTATAAAAAAAACAGTGTGTCTTGTGGCTGCGTCTGCCGCCCAATTTCTTGGAGTAACGCGTGGATCTCATCAGATGTAGTGCTATCGCCTTCAACATGATAAATCTGCTCACTTGGCACCTGTCCTCGTGATGTTAGGAGTTTGGTGAGTGAATTCAGTAGCTCATGTGCCCGTGCATCCGGCGTTGCGTCTACAAGCAGCCAGTATGTGCCGGAATCAACCGAGAATGCTGGTACCGATATAGTGAAAACGAGTACAATACAAATAAAAATGGAGGTAAAAACGGTGTTCACCTTTGGCATGCTTCTATCCGAGAATTATCTTTCAAAACTGTTTAACGAAGTAGTGTAGCAAAAATCCCAAGCAATTGCAAGAAAAAGAACAAGTTCGGGGGTCAAAATGTCTAAACTTTTAATGAAGCATTGCGTCAAAATATATAGATGAAGTTTTTTTGGTGTGGCTTGCAAATTAAAACTTGCTTTTAGGGAATTAAGAGGTCATCTCGCATTTAAAGCGTTCTCAGAAGTTAGTGATGGCACCAGACCGAATTGAAGAGACTCGCATTGACGCTGTAATCTATATAATAATACGGTTTTGGTGAAACTTAAAACCACCCAAACTGACTGTTAGAAAGTGTTGAACCGGCACAGGGTGTATGCTTGGAAAGCATGCCTATAAGCGTCGGAATGGACAAGGAGATGTTAATGATTCACGGGAAATTAAAGTTATCTGTTTTATTAAGACGCGCAGTGTTCCAACGGACGCGACGTGCGAGTTTACAAAACATGCTTATGAAAACTATTCTCATTCTTCAGTTTGCAGTAGTTCTTTGTATCGGGGCACAAGAACCTGCCGGCGAAATTGACTTATCACAACCTTTAGCCCTTGAACAATGTATCCAGATAGGCTTAGAAAAATCGACGAGTATGCGAATTGCGCGCCTGAATCTCGCGATACAAGAACTTCGGGTAAAAAATGCGCGCGCCGGGTATTTCCCACAAATTTTTGCAAACGGCAACTACGATTTTTCGGACCGCCTTGACTTCGGCTTTGAACCTGAGAACTACAATTTAGGGCTGCGTGGGCAATATACACTTTGGGATAACGGACAACGAGAGGGCAGTTTCGCACAAGCCAAAGAAAACCTGACCGCTACTGTTAGCCGAAATGAAAGGACTAAACAGGACTTAATTCTTGATATTACGGTCGCTTACTACGATGTTCTTAAAAGGCAGGAGCTTGTCAAAGTCAGTGAACAAGTTTTCGCGAGATCGCAAGAAAACACACAGCGAACAAGAGATTTCGTGGAGGCAGGCACCCTTATCCCGGCAGATGTTGCTACTGCCGAGGTCCGAGAAGCAAATGATGAGTTATCCTTGGTGAACAATCGCAACGCACTCCAAATTGCCCAAGCGACGCTGCCCCGACTCCTCGGATTAGATCCAGGGGTTTTGCTTACTGTTTCTGTTGATGAGTCTTATCAACTCTACCAAGATCGCGGGACGATTGAGCGGATAGAGATGTCAGTTGAGGAAGCTACCCAGATTGCCCTTAGCAATCGTCCGGAGTTTCAAGAGAGGCAGGCACAAATAAAATCTCAGGAATGGAGTCTAACCTTGGCGAAATTACAGCGCTGGCCCCGTCTGAACGCAGATGTTGACTACAACGTTGCCCTTGATGATTACCTCCGTGAGCGTGAGAATTTCTCTGACTTCCGAAGTTGGAGCGCAGGCATGTCCCTGAATTTCACCATTTTTGATGGCGGTGTCTTGGGGAACCGTGTTAAAGAGTTAAATATGCAGTTAGAACAGTCACGTGAAAATGTGAGTGACTTAGAGCGAAGTGTAGCTCTCGCTGTAAGGCAAGCCTATCTGAATCTTGAACGTGGTGAAATCGCTGTTGATATCTCCAAGAAACAGGTTACCAATGCCAGGCTCAGTTTAGATGTCATTCAAGGGCGTTTTGACGTAGGCAAAGCTATCTTGCTTGAATTGCTTGATGCCCAAACGAGTTACGCACAATCCTTGACGAATGAGGTGAATGGGTTCTACGACTATAAAATTACACAGATCCGTTTACAAGATGCTATGGGGGTTTTACAATAGCATGAGGAATCGCAAAAAGTGGATCATCATCGGGATAGTTGCTGTAACGGTTATTGCTGTAGCGGCAATTGGTGCTACCCGAATGAAATTCAGTTTCGGCCAAGACAAGAAGAAAGCTGAGGACAAACGGGAAGTCGTCCGCCGAGGCGAATTCCTTGTTCGTGTGCGTGAATCTGGCACCTTACGCTCCTTTATAGAGGTAGATGTCCGCTCAAACGTCGAAGGCGAGATCGTTGACATCCTCGTTGATGAGGGACAAAAGGTTGAGGTAGATCAAGCGCTTCTTCGCATTGATGAAAAACAAATTCTGGAGCAGAAGAAGCAGGCAGAGGCGAACCTAAATGCGCGAAAGGCAGAACTTGAGCGGGCACAGCTCAGGATTACAATTACTGAGAAACAGCAGGAAAGTGGTCTCGCACAGGCGCACAATTCTGTCTTAAAGGCAAAAGCGACTTTGGATTCGTTCGTCGCAACTACACAGCAACGGACCACAGAGGCTGAATCGCTGGTTGCGACGACAAACAACTCACTTGATCAAGATAATATCGCACTGAAGCAGGCAGAAATCGCGTTGGGGCAGGCGAAACTAACCCTTGAACGGGCAAAGTCAACTGTTGAATCGGCTAACATCTCGTATGAGACGGCAGAATCCGAGCATGAGCGTAACAAAGAACTTTATGATAAGCAACTCATTTCAAAGAAAGCATTGGAGGACTCTCAGAGACAACTTATTATTGCTAAGACACAGTACGATACCGCCCTTAAAGAGGTGGAATCACAAAAAGAGACTATAAAATCTCAAGATGAGAACCTCAACGCGCGGCAGAAAGCAATAGAAAGCCGACAAACGACGCTCGAACTGAATCAGAAGAACGTTGAGACGCTTAAACAGTCCCTAAAAGCACAGCGTAAGCAATACGTAGCGGAACTTGAGGATGCACAAACCCGTCTTCAACAGATACAAGAGACAATAGAAGAAGAAAAAGAATTGACAATACATTCAAGGGTGAGCGCTCAGGCGAGCCTCATCCAGGCGGAGAGCCAACTTAAATCTCAGGAAGAACGTCACGAATGGACAACTGTCAAGGCACCAATGGCTGGCACAATTACGCGTCTCATCGTAGAAGAGGGTGAAATTATCACGTCGGGGCGTTCCTCATTTTCACGTGGTGAAGCTATCATGCGTATTGCTGATCTCGACCAGATGATTGTGAGGACACAAATCAACCAGGTGGAGATCGGGAAAATAGTGGAGGAGCAGCGCGCCGAAATCACTGTTGATAGTTATCCGGGTAGCGTCTTTCCCGGTAGGGTGAGCGAGATTTCACCGAGTCGCGACGCAGCGCGGTCCTCAAAATCAAAGTTCTGTAATCACTTTTGAAGTAGATGTAGAGGTCATAGGTTCACCAGCAGAGTTACTGCCCGGTATGTCTGCGGATGTTGATATCATTGTGTTTGAAGAATCGGATATTCTTCAGTTGCCTATTCCAGCCGTGCTGAGTCCGGAGATTTTCACGGTAAAAGCCAACATAAATTTGACAGATCTTGGGCAGTTTCAGGAAGGCCAAGCACTCAAAATTCGGAATCTTATCGGAAGGGAATTCGCTGGAAAGGTCGGTAAAATTGACTCGGAAAAGGCGCGTGGCAACCTTGAAATTTTACTTGAAGGTCAGCAGAAAGGCTTGCGCAAAGGTCCAACGAAGATCGGTATTGTTATCTCTGACCAAAACGTCCTTCCCGATATAGAAGCCGAAGTGAATAGTGAACGGCAGTATTTTGTCAAGTTGGATACGGGTAAACCGAGTAAGAACAAAGAAGAAAAAGGCGTTAAAACCCATATTACAATCGGGCAGCGCAACAACACACACTTTCAAATCATGGGCGGTTTGAAGGAAGGCGATCGCGTTTTTGTGCCTTCTATGCAGGAATTAACAGAGGGACAAAGAGACGACGAAGGCGACGATAAATAACAGGTGCCATATTGTTAGCATAAGTTTACTAAGTTCTATTTTTTATCTTCATCAAATCTATACTAAGGAGAAAACACTATGTTAATAAATGTAAAAGATTTGACAAAAATCTACCAGATGGGCGACGTGCAGGTACACGCGCTGCGAGGTGTGACCTTCACTATAACACAAGGTGAATTTATCGCTATTATGGGACCGTCCGGCTCCGGTAAATCAACCATGATGGATATCTTGGGGTGTCTCGCAACGCCAACATCGGGTGATTACTTCCTTGAAGGGGAAGAGGTGGGCAAGCTTTCCGATAATCGCCTCGCGGACATTCGAAATAAGAAAATCGGTTTTGTTTTTCAATCGTTTAACCTGCTACCGCGGACGAGCGCGCTCAACAATGTTGAATTGCCACTTATTTACTCTGGGTTGGGTAGAAAGGAACGGAAACGGCGCGCATTTGAGTCCTTGGAAGCAGTCGGCTTAGCAGACCGGGTGGATCATAAGTCAACCGAGTTATCTGGTGGACAAATTCAACGCGTTGCAATCGCTCGTGCTTTAGTTAATAAACCCTCAATGATTTTTGCCGATGAACCGACAGGAAACTTGGACACGCGTTCCGGGGCAGAAATTATGGCGATCTTCAACCGCTTGAACGATGAAGGAAATACCATCATCATGGTGACACATGAAGCTGAAGTCGCTGAACACGCAAAGCGGGTACTCCACATTCGTGATGGTCTAATTGAACGAGATGTCAGACAGAATGGATATGAGGAAACTGCCGCTGACTGATCAAGCGGGATATGCATGAAAAAGGTTTATCTTTTGTCCTCGTCTTCTTCTGTTTCTCTGCCTATCATGCCCAAGCACAGATTAAGTGAGACCCTGAGAAATTCATGCTGATTTCTGAAGTAAAGCAGGGCATGAAGACAAAAGCTACACCGTGTTTCCAGGGACAACGGTTGAGGAATTCGATTGCGAGTAGATTCCTAACGATGCCCCTGATGGCCTTATTATCCTCTTTGTAATGAACGCAACTGCAGACGAACTCCGTCCGACACAATTATGCACCACGTCAAAATTACGACTCCGTCCCGTTTACACTTTTCGCTGCTTGACTTGAACGGTGCATTGGGGCGGATTGATGGTGGATTCGGTCTCGCGATTGCTGAACCCAATTTCCAAATCACCGCTGAGCGGGCAACGAGCATTGATATTGCCACTTCTGTGTATCGTGAGCGAGCTGTCGCTGTTCTCCAACGATTTCAAAAAGCCTATCCGTTTCCCGGTATTAAGTTAACCTTTGAATCTGAAATCCCGATGCATTCTGGATTCGGGTCTGGAACTCAACTTGCACTTGGCATTGCCCAGACTGTCAATGTGTTGTATCAACTCGGACTCGGTGTACAAGAACTCGCACAGGCTGTCGGGCGCGGTGGTACTTCAGGTATTGGGGTTGCAGCGTTTGATACCGGTGGGTTTATCGTGGATGGTGGACACCGTTTTCCTGAAGAAAAAGCGTCGTTCCTCCCCTCGTCTGCTGTTGGTGATATTCAACCACCACCGATTTTACTCCGTTATTCATTTCCAGAATTACCCCTGTTGATTGTGATGCCGAATTGTTCGAGAATTTACGGCGATACCGAGGTGGAACTGTTTCGGACGTTGTGTCCACAACCAGAATGGGTTGCACAGAAACTTTCACACATTTTACTGCTCCAGGTACTTCCTGCCCTAATTGAAGGTGATATGTCCAACTTTGGCAAAGCCTTAAACGATATTCAGACGTTTGGGTGGAAGAGAGTAGAAATTGAGGCACAAGGTTCTGAACTTCAATTGACGCTTGACTACTTGCGCGACAGCAAAGCATTCGGTGCCGGGGTTAGTAGTTGGGGACCAGCGATTTGCGTGATAGCGGAAGATATTGATAGGCTAAAACAGGAAACCCGATGCATTCCTGAAAACGCTACCGGATGGCGGGACCTGCTTTATTACACAGGCGAACAACTTTGGCGCAAGCGTTGTGTCAGGTTAAAAACAAAACGGGCGGATTTTATCAGCCGCCCGTCCGTGTTATCTATTGTTTGTTATCCTTTGCTTGGGGAATAATACGGATTGTTCCCAGAAGCGTGATCGGTTGTATCAATCACGTGCTTGATTTCAGGAAAGACTTCCTGAACCATCGCTTCAATGCCGTGCTTGAGCGTGACATCCGCCATGCCACACCCTTGGCACCCGCCACCCATGTGGATATAGATAGAATCCTCTTCAACATTCAGCAGTTCTATTTGTCCACCGTGTGCGGCGACAGCGGGATTAATCCGTTCATCGATGAGTTCCTGAATCTGTTGTGCCTTCGGGTTGTCCCAGGTAGGCGCGTTCGGGTTTTCGATGTTGAACCCACTTGAATTCAGGTCGTCGACATAGTCAATCACAACACCTTTAAGATCCGGCGCGCTTTCGGCATCGACGAGTACATTAAAATTCCCACATTCAACAACAATGTCATTCGCTTGGGCTTCGGTAGCTAAACCAAGGCTGTATTGGAATCCTGTAGCAGTTCTGCCTTGGATACTAATACGCAGCCCTTCAACTTCAGCCTCTTCGGCTTCCATCACTACGTGAATCTTCTCTTGCGCGGCTTCTGTCACCGTAAGCAAAGCGGTTTCATTTCCCGTGAGCTTCTTCAAGAAATTCTTCATAGTTGCCTTCCGTGAGTGGTGTTATGCAGCAGTCTTACCTGCCCAAGACTGATCTGACTGGAATTCTCCCATTTCCTCATATAATACGCGCAATCGCTTAATTGCCTCAATCTCCAATTGTCGAACCCGCTCTCGGGTGACTTCCAAGGCAACGCCAATTTCGCGGAGCGTCTTACGTTCGCCATCTTCGAGTCCAAAACGCATCTTCAGCACTTTCTGTTCTCGGTCCGGTAGTCTTTTAAGAAATTGAGCGATCAGATCTTCGTTAATCATTTCTGCAATAGGACCTTCTTCGCCGCTGGTCGCGGGGTCCTCGATTAAATCACCTAATGTCGCGGCGGAGCGTTCATCGCTAAGTTGTAAATCCATTGAAATCGCATCAGCGTTAAACGTTAAAATTTCCTCAACCTGCCTTAGCGACAGATCTAAAGCTTCCGCTATTTCGTCGCGTCGAGGTTCACGTTGCAGTTCTTGGCATAATGCCGCGTAGACAGCGTCAAACTTATTCATCTTCGCAACTACATAGGAAGGTAGTCGAATGGAGCGAGAGAAATTATCAAGCGTACGCATAATTGCCTGTTTAATCCACCAGATCGCGTACGTACTGAATTTAAAACCCTTCCTATAATCAAATTTACCCGCTGCTTTAATCAGTCCAATATTTCCTTCTTGAATCAGATCTTCGAGTGGGACGTTGTGTCCTTGGTATTTCACAGCGATTGAAATGACGAGCCGTAAGTTCGCTTGTACAAGCTGATCTCTTGCTTGTTCCGCATCCGCATTATAACCATTCTCCGTTTCACCAGCTTCAATGCGCTTCGCTAACTCAACTTCTTCTTCACGCGTCAGCAGGCGATGACCTGCTACGCTTCGGAGCCAACTCGTTAAAGCATTCTGATCGCCCCCTTTATAACTCTCTGGAGGTTCTGTTTCCTCTGCTGGGTATGCTGTATCCATATAAGGATCAACACTTTCAATACTTGTCGTTTCACCGAGAAATTCGGCTTCCATCGTTCTCCTCTCTTCTTGTCGGATTTGATAAAATGATACAAACGTTAATGATACCGTATATTAAAACGTTTTGTCAAGTAAAATGTTTAAAAAAAAGTGAAATTTCCCCAAAAAACCGAGATAATAAGACATTCTAACATAATTTTATGAAAAAAACAACTCAAAATGTAGTCACACCGTTATTTCACTCAAGAAGGCGCACACAGCAGCTACATTTATTGGAAAAGTATACCATCGGTTCTTGATACCCCTGTAGAAGCACGCTCCGATTCGCGACTTCCTGAACTTTGTGCAACCTAAACTATAGGCATAGTCCATCAAGTTGCGTGTCCGATCAGTAAAATCGCTGCTGGTAATGAGGTCGCTTCTGTTGTTTCAAATGCCCTGCTGATACATGAAATCTCATCGTCTGTTTCTAACATCTCGTAAGGTAAATGCCATGCCTTCAGTGTCGGTTCCAGAAAACTCGCTACAGAATCAACCCATTGTCCATCTGCATCTCGATTGTGATACCCACGATACCCAATGAATACGACTACTGGCACCCGCATGTTGACCACCGTGCCTCGGATCGCATCACCAGATTCCAGAAAACCTGTATTTTGAATAATTATCACCGGTTTTTTACCGCCTACGTACAAGCCAGATGCAACAGCGAATGCTTCACCTTCGCGGGTTACCGTAATAACCTCAATGCCTGGCTCTGCCCGTAAAAGTTCATAAATTCGCGCACTGCCATTATCTGGAACACCTACGGCGTGCGTGATTCCCTGTTTTTTTAATTCATTTACAATTTTTTGTGCTGATGCCAATTTCTACTCCTACTTCTTGAAAATCTGCTAAGTACGGGATGGGATATGTCCTTACGGGTATAGATAGGTAATGGGGCAGACAGCGCGCCTGCCCCCGCCTGCCCCTACAATTGCAGCACTATCGTCTACCTTCAACCAGTGCCTCAACAACCGTCGGGTCAGCAAGAGTTGAAGTATCACCGAGGTTAGAGATGTCACCTTCCGCGATTTTGCGGAGAATACGCCGCATAATCTTGCCTGATCTTGTCTTTGGAAGCGCAGGCGTAAACTGAATCTTGTCGGGTGTGGCGATCGGTCCGATATGTTGTCGAACCGCCTGTTTAATGCCTGTTTCTACCGTATCAGACGCAGATTCGCCCGTCATGAGTGTAACATACGCATAGATGCCTTGTCCCTTGATGTCGTGTGGATAACCGACGACTGCGGCTTCTGCTACCGCCTCATGTTGACCGATTGCACCTTCAACCTCGGCTGTTCCTAATCGGTGGCCTGAAACATTCAGGACATCGTCCACGCGTCCCGTAATCCAATAGTAGCCGTCTTCATCGCGCAGCACGCCATCGCCTGTCATATAATAGCCGGGGAATCGGCGAAAATAGGTGTCTAAAAACCGCTCATGATCCCCGTAAACCGTTCGCATGATACCGGGCCACGCCGTTTTAATACAGAGGTAACCAGTTGCAGGGTTACCTTCCACTTCGTTGCCTGCTTCATCAAGTATCACGGGTTCAATCCCAAAGAACGGGAACGTCGCTGAACCCGGTTTCAGTGGGGTTGCGGCAGGCAGCGGAGTCATCAGAATCCCACCGGTTTCGGTTTGCCACCATGTATCCACAATCGGGCACCGTTTCTCGCCGACTATGTTGTAATACCACAGCCATTCCGGTTCTTTAATCGGTTCACCCACCGTACCGAGGAACTTGAGCGTGGACCTGTCGTATTTTTCGACCCATGTATTGCCCTCCTTCATCAACGCCCGCAGTGCTGTCGGAGCGGTGTAGAAGATATTAATCTGATGTTTTCGACGACTTGCCAAAAACGTCCGAAGTCCGGATAGTTCGGCACGCCTTCAAACATCACACTAATTGCACGATTCGCGAGCGGACCGTAGATAATATAAGAGTGACCCTGTAATCCAGCCTATGTCGGCGGTTACACCAGTAGACATCACCTTCATGGTAATCAAAGACCTGTTGATATGTATAGGACGTATAGACGAGATAACCACCTGTGGTATGCAAAACACCCCTTCGGTTTCCCGGTTGAACCAGACGTGTACAAGATAAAAAGCGGATCTTCGGCATTCATAACTTCCGGTTCACATGCTGCTTCTGCATCTGCCATCGCTTCATGCCACCAGATATCGCGTGATGTATTGAAATCGACTGTGTCACCTGTACGCTCCACGACGACAACTTTTTCAATAGATGGGCATTCTGCCACAGCTGCATCTGCATTCGCTTTCATCGGTATATCGCTACGAGGACCACGCATTGCTGTGTCTTGTGTTATGAGCATCTTACACGCCGAGTCATTAATCCTGTCTCGGAGGGATTCCGCTGAAAAAGCACCGAAAACGATGGAGTGAACAGCACCTATCCTGGCACACGCCAACATCGCAATCGCCAACTCTGGCACCATCTGTAAATAGATACAGACGCGGTCGCCTTTTTCAACGCCTTCTGCCTTCAATACATTGGCAAACTTTTTGACCTCGGTGAGGAGTTCACTGTAACTGAACGTCTTATCTTCGGATGGACTATTTCCTTCCCAGATAATAGCCGTTGCGTCGCCGTGTCCTGCCTCTACATGCCGATCAAGGCAGTTATAGCAAGCGTTCAGTGTGCCGCCTTCAAACCATTTGATTTCCCCGTTGACAAAGTCATAATCGCGAACCGTATCCCATTTCTGATACCATGTCAACCGTTCCGCCACCGTTGCCCAAAACGCTTCTGGGTCTTGAATCGATTCGGCGTATTGTGTCTGATATGCTTCTAAACTGTCAATGTGCGCATTATCGATTGGATAGGCAGTCTCTGCCGGTGGAAAAACATTGTTAGCCATCTATTTTCTCCTGTACAAGAGGTATTTCTGGGTCTGTCGGATTGTCTCAAGTGCGAGTAAATAGCAAAACATCGGTTCTTACTTTATACCAATTGAGACGAAGATATTTCTAGAAGAGGTAGTGAGACTCCTCTGATGATAGAATTCCATATTCCTTACATTTATCAATTATTATTTTTTTATTTTTGCAATTTTCTAGGATGAAATAATTCTCCTTCAAATCTCTGACCTTGTTAATAGAAATGCTCTTTTGATTGAGTTCTTCAATGAGAATCGTCGGAACAAAAATAGAGTTCAAAAGTGTTATCGCCTGCTGGATGAACTCCAATAACAACGTCTGAGGTCGTAGTGGATTGCGTATAAGTTTTAACATCCGATTTGTATTCTCTATCAACTCCACCTCTTCCTCCGCCAGTAAAGGCAACTGATTGAGTTGCTGTTTTCACTTGTGCGCGAATGAGGTCCTCACTATCATCTGATTCCTTACGGACGATGATAATGTCATAGGGCGATAAAGGTAAATCAACCAGTGAGACGTTCTGGTATCTTTTCATCAAAATCCCAGCAGCGATATGCTCATGGGCAAATCCATCTACTGATGCTTGTCTGCCCTTCTCTTCTATGTTGACCATGTTTCTACCTCTGTTCCGTTATTTTTTTAGGACTAAAATCCAATCAGTGTTAATACGTTCACCCCTGGGGACCTTAATGAAGTGTTTAATAATCTCCGAACCAAAGTGGGTTTCTACATCAAACCCAATGTTCTCAGCGATTGGCATGAGGTACTTCCAATTCTCAAACAACTGCCCCCGGATGCGGTTATTACCTACAACCATAACATATCGACCACCGGCACGTAGAACTTTGTAAACTTCAGCTAAGTTTTTTCGCATATCGTCTAGGTATTTGAAAGCGATGAAGGCGCGTCTCGGATCGATTTCCAAAATATTGGCCATGACCCTATCGGCCTCCGGTACTCCTATTTCGTGTTGAAGTTTGTAATGACTAGCTGAAACGCTTTCTGTGCCAACGTTCTGTTTCTTCAAAGCAGTTAGAGAGTCCTGTGCGAAACCTAACCAATACATCTCCAATTGATGGGTTCTCGGGTAGTCAACGGCATTGACATAAGGTGGTGAGGTTAACGCGAGGTCAAAGTAATTTGCCTCGTATTTGATGTTCCTTGCGTCCATGTCCGCCGGAAAGTTGGTGGTTATACCCGATGGATAATTTTGAGAAAATTCTACCATTTTGGGGACTTTGACGTGAAGTGCTTTCACAAATCGGTTCAGTGCATCGGAAGGGCGAACCAATTTGTTCAATTTCATCCGAATCACGGTGCGGGTACAATTGTCATCGGCGTTGGAAACAGAACGGATGATGGACGAAAGACAGACCTTGAAAAAGTCTTTAACACGATCGTTGGTGTCAAGTGACGCAATCTGCTTTTTTAAATAGGTTAGTTCCAACAGGATTTCTTTGTTAAACCAATTGTCTCTATATGGAAAGTCCGGTAGATCGGATTCAAGAACAAGTGAAGGACGGTAGTGGAGAATAGCCTCCAAAAGCACTTTTTGCGCTAACTTAAGTTCCGTTTCTTCCAACGGTGTTACCTTCACTCTTGAAATGAAACGCGAAAATGGATCAACATCAATTCCGACAGAATTCCGCCTTGAGAGGAGTGCCTCAACATTTGTGGTGCCGCTACCGGCAAATGGATCAAGAATCTGGTCGTTTTCTTGTGAGTAGCGTTTAATGAGCCAACGCGGTAACTCTGGGAAAAATTTGGCAGGATATTTGTGCAAACCGTGCGTTAGGAAACTCTGATCGTGACTGATGAATAGAAACCTATCGCCATCCTTCGCTGGCAGGTCAACAGGAATATCACCATCTACCCGAACAATGCTTTCACCAAAGTCGTTTACAATTTCAGTAATGTTGTCCATGTTTTTTCTGCAGAACTCTTCGATTCTCTGACGTGAAAATCCAATCAGCTAAGCCTTGATGAGCCGCTCCCGTTCCAACTCCTCTATTCGTTGGCGGAGCACTTTGATTTCTTCTTGTTGATCGCGGACCGCCCTAATTTCTGCTTCTTGTTGGTCGCGGTTTCGGTTGTATTGATAAACAATAATCCCCATTGGCACTGCAACGAAAGCAATAATGGCAACGATTAAGGCAATGATTAAATGCCCTTGGAAGTCTATTCGTTTCCCTAGGGCTTGAATTTCAGTGGAGATACGTTTGTCCAGTTGTACTTCCACCTCACTGATACGTTTGCCGAGCCGCACCTCAACATCATCAATACGCTTCCCAAGCCGCACCTCAACCTCATTGACAATCTGGCGGATCTTTTCTAAATCCTCAACACTCAATTCACCAAATGCAGATGGACTGAAGCACAAAAGTCCCATGATGACAAGAGCCAGACCTAACATTTTCATGATGGATTCTCCATACTTTACATGATAGACTCTCTACACTTTACGAATTGTAGCACAATTGCCGAGCGTCCGCAACGCAAATTTTAGCGTGGAAAAGTCACAGCCACGACATCCATGGTCATAGCGACGAGCCAGTGAATTGCCGCGCCGTAGATAAACGACGCGTTTCAAACGCTAACACACCAAGTAATACACCTGCGATGATTGAACCGAGTGCCTCTGGTAGCGGCTTGGAATAGTGCATCACCGCAAACGGGATCGTCTGAATTAAGATAGCGTAGTTCCCAAATTTCCGTTCCAATCCGAAAAGCATAAACCCACGAAAAAAGAATTCCCACGAAAACATGTAAACACCGTACGCGAGTTGGTACGGTAGGAATGCTTGCCAACTGTTTGCAACGACCTTACAAAGCGGATACTTTGCGACAAAGGGCGGGATACGATGACAGCAAGGATAACCACGGGTATCATCAGAATCCATGCCACTCCTGTTACGCTCCATCCAAGTCTCTGATTTCCGAGTTGGAACCCATAGTCTTTTAACCGCTCTCTTGTTCCGAATTTTGCAACGAGAACGGGGATGAGTAGCAACGTGAGTGCCGTTGTCAAAAACCAGTAGTAGTACGGGTAACTTTCTGCCAGAGGTCCATTTCCGAGATATTCTGCGAAGTGACGGTTGAAAAAGCTCCGTCGGCTATAGTACCTATGCAACGTTAATAGTAGTGCCGAGGCAAGCAGAATAACAGTCGCTTGTCGTTCCCAACCACGTAGATATTTTTCTTTTATTTAATATTTGGATGTTGGAAAACCCATCTTGAATCCGGTCGGTTTACGAGGTATATACGTGACCCATGTATAAAAAAATTTGCAATGTGAGGCGGAGGGATGTGCCAGGCTACAGGTCCAAATTTCTCATTGGATGAGTTTAACTGCGAGTAGGGTAAGTGGTTTTTGAAGCGCAAGAAAATGTATTGTTTCAGAGATTTTGTGTGTGTCCTTGCGAAGCGTAAAACAGACATGGCAGTGTTTGCGTAATGCTGCGATGGACTTGTGGTATACTCCAGGTTCTTGCCTGTGAAAGCGTCCTCCCGAGAACTGGTGTCCTCGTGACCAAATGGACTTTGTTTTCTATCGTCCAATATGTTCGCGTCGGAGTTTGAGCAAGTCTCGCGGATGCTGCTGCGACTTAGGGTGAGAACTCGTGATGCCTAATGCGGCCTGCGAGGAGATCTGGGCTGTTTTGTTTTTCTCGCCATGCTTTGCGATTGGTATGTAAACTGAGCGATTCCGGGCCATTTGATGTAACTGTGGCAATGTCTGCGCGTAGGGTTGAGTGTGGTGTCAACCGTGTGATGTTTCAACATGGGTGCGTAGGTATGAGGTGTGTGCGCCTTCTGGGTGTGAAGGTTTTCCTTCAAAGCGTCGGGTCTCTAACCTCTGTGGCATCTGTCTCGAGAGGGGTTCAACTGAGTTGCTGTATGTCGTCATACATCTGTTGTGATTTTCTTTGACAGGCAGCGCATAGTCTGCCTGATGTTTTCGAGAACTTCTTTACAAAAGGTTTCTCTGCGCAAAAGGGCATCTGTCCGTCACGACTTTCTCTGCGACATCAAACGCTTTGAGGAGTTGTGTTGAGATCGGAATCTCGTTGGTTCCCACTGACAGGCTGTTTGTGCAGAATCCCTAACTCATGACAGACTGCGGAAAGTAAATGGTGTCCTGTATCCCGCTCTGGGTTTTCAGAGCCACATAACTCTTTACCATCAATAGCGACTCTTGTAGAGCTGTGTGTTTGAAAGCTTGAAAGTTCTTCAAGTTTTGAAGACACCCATTTCGTTAGGGATGCTTCGAGACTCACTACGTCAAGACGCTTCAAGAGATATGCAGTGTTGACGCACGCGGGGTTTTCTTAGACCTGCAACCTAATGCTTGGATCAGTTCGGGTTGGCTCCGTGCCCACGTCGCTACAGAGGTATAACCTCTATGTCCCGTCATCAGACCGATGATGATCAAAGCCAGGATAGAGACCAAAGGATAGCGTTTGCCTTTTTATGGCGTGGATTCCGGCCACTTCTGCTAATATATCAAGTAAGTGGCAGAGGAACTGCTTGTCATGATTCACCTCAAAAAATAGGTTCATTTTTTACGGTGAAGGATAGCACATATCGCGTGAAAAATCACGCGATATGTGCTATCTCAAAATATTAACAGATGTGAAAATATT